CTTCATTCACATCCCTGAACTATTTGATACTACCAGATGAGAACTTCAGGCTTTGCAGGAGTAGCCCTTTCCAGGCCTCTCATTTGTCCATTCTGTATTGCTTAATTCCTTGGAAACTAGCAATGAGAAGGCTTGGTTTATTTTTAAATTACGAAGAGAATCATTCATTGGTGAGAAGTCACATCAGGGTCTCATTCTTCAAACCGACAGTTTAGTGTGTATCAAGCTAAAAGAGAGCCCGATTATTAGTTTTAAAGAGCTTATTTCATTCTCTTAAAAATGGGATCAGTTCATCTTCGTCATATCTGTCTCTGCGTGGCTCCTGCATGCCACAACTGTCAGCTCCAGGCATTACGTTATTGAGGTGTAGACTCTGTGTGTGTGTGTGTGTGTGTGTGTGTGTGTGTGTGTGTGTGAGAGAGAGGGTCTGAGTATTCACGTTTTCCAAAGGAACAAACAATGAGATTTAGAGTGGGGGTGATAAATGGGACTGATCTGCTTATTTGCATTCAGGAAAGTCTGGGAAGACAATCCCCATCCATTCCACCCCACACTGGCTGGAGGACAAGAACAATGGCAAGAACTTCTTTTCTAAGCAAGAATAAACAAGGTCTTGGAGTAAGTCACCTCAGTGAGCAGTGCAGCGAAGGTAGTATGATTGTCATAAGTATTTTTCTCCCTTACACTCCAAGAGTTGCTCAGCTTTGGCCAGGTAACCTATGCACACTCATACCAGGGGTTTTGGATGTTCCCAGTAGCTGTGTAAAGGGCTGTTTTATGGTTCCCAGACTCCTTCCCATTCTCTTCTGAATGAAAGCCAGAGCTGAGCTGAACTATAGATGAAAGGGCAGATCTTTCTATTGCTTTGCCCTACATTGGAACCTGCCATTCATACCCATGGGAGATACTGCACGTGTCTGGAGCAAGCATATCATAATATAGAGGTCAGTACAAAGGAGAGGTGATAAGCAGCGAGAGGCTTCACACTGAATTTGGCAGTGGATAACATGCAGCAAGTAATACAGTGTGAATTTCAATGTAGTTGGGTGTCAAGTGTATCTCACTAAAGGGGTTTTAGAGATGACAGGGGCAGCTAGGGATACCCCTGCAGATGGGAACTGGAAGAATTTCTGAACTGGAGCAGCTTCATTGCAAAAAGGGGGAGAAAGTGTCCAGGAGGCACGGGCCAGTGAAAGAAAACAAGTAACTATAGGAGCAGGGCTTGAGAATTCTAGAAATGTGCCACACACAGCCTGTCCAAGAGCATGGGAGCAAACCAGCAGGATCTCTGTAGCTATGCCTAGAGAAAGAAGTGTACCTGCACTCATCTCTGTACATATCAATGACTCCATGGTAGATAATCTAAAATGACGGACAATCAAAACAGCACTTAGACTATATCTATGTCTTAGAATTGATGTGGATAGGTCAAAATATGTAAAGCTTATAACACTTTCCAAGAAATAACAAAATGCCTTTGAAGACCTGAGTCTGGAAGAGTGGGCCAGATGTCACACTGATCCCAGGAATGCATCTGTCCTCCCTGTTCCTGCCTGCACAAAGGGACATGAGCATCATGAAGCCTGAGGCAAAACACCTGCACTGTCCACTGTGGTGAGATCAGGCTTCCCTGCTCCACGCAAGAAAGGTTATAGGTGAAAGCTACGTATAAATGGTAGAGTCTCTTAGTTTTGTTTGGACTAAAATATACAATAATCTCATATTTATTATGAAATAAAATATATGCATTTAATAAAATATTTAGAAGAAAATGATTCCCAATGGATGAAATCATAATGCTGATAATTTATCAGCAGGTCATGGGGTTTCCATGGCAAGGAGAAAGGCTGTCCTCCCTCCAGAAAGCCTGCTTCATCTTTTTTTAGTCTAAATGAAGAACTCATGCTATATACTTAGATCATACTGTTTTCCTTGTATGTCAGTATTCGCTGAGTACATATCAAAGACTACCTGGGTTGAACAGGGACCTATAACCTTAGCTGTTATGTAGTGACCCACAGCACTTCTGGTTTCCAACACATCCAACAAAGCCTATGGAGTGGAACCCATCTTGCCTTCTAGTGGTCCTTCATGTGACTGGAAAGTACAAACAATTCAAAAAATTAACATGGAAAAATTCTCAGAGGAAATGAAAATGGATGCTGAGAAAATCATGGCCACATACAGCTGCAAAAAAAATTAGGGGTGTAAGTGATAGGACCCAACAACTGCAGTGGCTCAGACAGGAATATAATAACTCCTTAGATCTCATGAGCGAGGCATGACTAGAGAAGCTTCTAAGAACAGATCACCGCCCAAAGTGGGCCAGGAACTGAAGATCTGAAGATTGACACCTGTCACATTCTGCCCTGGTGCTTGGTAAGTTCACTGTTCTGGTTTTCTTGTACTCACCTGTCAAGTAGATAATATCCATGTTCACCTAGAATTTCTCAGATTAATATTGAGAAGCAACAAAAACTATGACAATAAAATACTTTGAAATAGTGGGCAAGCCATGATTGTTGAAAGTCTTCAGAGCATTTAGACCAGAAAGAGGAAGCATAAGGAACCCTGAGGAAACTGGGGGTTGGAGATAAGGGAGACAGAGAAGCCCCCGGACTAGACATCCCTGAGCTCCAGCAATAATGGAGTCTGCTGGACCTGTGGGAACTCCAAGCACCTCCCTTTCATGGTTTTAACAATCAAACAACCTTTCTTTGACAACAGTGATGCCTAAACAGATGTATGCTAGACAAATAAAACTGAGGAGAAGGTATGACATTCTAAAAACATGAAGGAGAGCAGAAGGAAAAAAGATAAGAACAAAAATTTAACTGCACTGTTTATAAAGAGCTGATGTGTAATTCAGTGTTTGTAGAAACTTTTCTGTTTTGTTTGGTGGCAGGACCAAATTGGAAACATGTGAAGTATATAAATATCATTTACAATTAAAAGAAAAAAGCTTACAAAGATTTAGGAAACCATGCCTGTGGATGAGCTCAGAAAAATACAAGGTATTATTCTAACAGAAAGGACTGCCGTTCAGGGCCAAATAGAGCGTGTGATTATTGGGTGGGTCAGAAAGCCAAGGGGGCTTCCCTGGCTAACAGAGGAGGCCATGAGAGATCTGCTCAATTCCAAGAAGTTTCCAGGCCCAGAATAAATTCTCATTTGAATAGCACTTGAATTTTCATTTTTACACATTTTTCCACCATGAGTTTTCACCCTTAGACTTCTAGAAAAGCCAATGCATTTAACGAATCCATGTCATGTTATGGAGAACAGGTTGCCAAATGGGCACTAAGCTGATCTGGAAGTCATAAATTTGCTCTTCCTTAGCTGGGTGAACTTTAGGAGCCTCAGGACCTTCATATGAGAAAGGGACATTGGAGAATTGTACAAGGTGGACCTGTAATTCCAAAGTGAGATCACTTGAGATATGGGATATAGAGTTGCCAGAAAAAATACAGGTGTATCAGGTAAAGTTGAATTTCAGATGCACAAGCAATAGTTCTTTAGATAAGTATTCATGGGGAAAAAAAATTGTGGGAGTCCTCTATTTTTACTTGGCAAATCTTTATTTCAAAGTTAACCACTTATCAATCCAATTATTTAAATACAAGATGAAAAAAAATTGCATTTTTCATTAATTTTTATAAGACAATATAATAGGAAATAAAAACAACAATTTTATCAAATTTATTCAATACAAGAATCGATTTGTTGAAATGACACCTGTCGGACTCAAAAGAGTCTGTACGTAAGCAAATGAGTGACACTCTGGTAAACTCTTAAGTGATTAATCAGATGGGAAAGGGAAGGTTCTAGAAGTAGTACAGGCAGTGAATGGAAAAAGCTGAGAGCAAGGAGCAAGGCAGTAGTGAGGCTGTCAGTACCTACTACCGACTTGGCAACTTGGGAGGGCTAGCTTAGTGAAAGGGCGTGGATAAGCCACACACCACCAAGGCCTCAGTGAGGTACAAAGGTTGTGAAGAGTCCTCCCTTGGAGGAGGCCCCAGGAAAGCTGTCCTGGACCCTGAGTGGCCACATCTCTGCCTGTGGCTTGACCTTTTGTTGCCCTCACAATGCAGTGCCTTTCCTAAACACTACCTTCATTACCTTTCTCCCTTTGCATACTCTTCAATGGCCTCTACCAGCTGTTCTGGGAAATCCAAGCATCCTAGAAGCTCCTAGAAAGCCCATTTGATCCGATGCAGGCTCTCCCAAGCTGGGCTCTTGTCCATCCCAAATCCCACTTCATAAGCCAGCCATACCTTTGCCTTCCTCATCTGTTTAGAAAACTGTTCAAACTGCTCCTTTTTTAAGAGTTCAAGACTGCATCCTCTCTAGAGAACTGTCCTTGGCTCCTTTCTCTCACCCTTTTTTGATTTCACTCCTCTTCTAAGCTCTTTTATCTCCACGTGGGCCTTGGTGAGCAAGGTGTCAAGAGTGGATTCTAATTTATGTATTCTCCCTGCTGGTCACTTTTTATACAACTCCTGGAGGTCAAGTAATTCGGTCTTAGTTTGTCTCTGAATCTCTTGTCCCCCCCAGTATCTCTTGGCATTGGATGAGTATGCAGTAATTATTTGATTGATTAGTTATTATGTTTACTGCTCCCTGTTGACTAAGGACACTTGCAGAGGAATTGATGAGTCCATTTCTGTTTCTGTGGTTCGTCTATATATTCTGGGGGTCAATAATCATCTCTAGGACTAGCTGACTTCTACTCATTCGCAGGCACCCTTCCTGTTCCAGCAGACACTGAGACATCCTTCTTTGAACTCACAGTTCTGAGTTGGCATTTATCATTTTACAACCTATACTGTCAGTTTAATTCAAACTTAGGAGTTAACCATTTATTCCCATGTCCCATGTTTTGACTTGTTTCCTGTGTTGTCATTCCCACCAATAAGTATCTCATTAGTGCTTTCTGTACGAATGCCTACCACCAAGCTCTCACAAAGGATAGAAGCCAGGAAATGAGGCCCTAGCCCTCTGGAAGCTTATACATATAAGGTAAAACTGAAGTTAACCCATAGTTCTGACAATCAGAGGCCACCATAGGGACAGAAACAAACTCCTGGGCCCTTAACCTGTTACTTATTAAAAGCATGAGTTGTGTTTTCTTTTGAAACAGTCAGGGACTTAGAGGCTGACCCTACGAATGTCCAATGGGAAGTAAATGCAGGATAAAGCTTGGCACCTTTGCTCTCATTTTATGCCTCCTTTATTACCTTAAAGCTTTGGGATAAAGCCCTACTCAGCTCTGCAGGTAGGCATGTTCATCCTTCTGGGAGTTTGTATATTACAAGATTTATGAGCACTAAATGTATCTACTCTCTCATCCCCCTTCAAGACTGAGGACAACTGAGGACACCAAGGTAAGAGTAATTAGAGTAATTTTCAGGATTTACAGGGAGATCCAATTACCAGCTTTTACAAAGTTCAGTTCTAGGTCCTCCTTGAGCAATGCCTAGAAGTCACCAGATGTTGTCCTAACATCTAGGTTTCTAGGAAAAGCTGAGCCTTGCAGACCACCCCATGATGTGGTCACTCTTCCAAGCAAGAACAACTATCGCATGGGAACTGAATTACCCCCCCACCCCAATCCATAGGAATCTTCTGGAACTACAAAACCACGACTGAAATGATGATCAAGAAGGCTCCAGCCCAGCATGGCACCTTGTAAAAGTGGCTTCTGGTCCTCTGTTATGGGCCAGTCTGAACTTGATCAGCACGAGGCCCTTCCAGATGCTCAAGCCAGAGTCTTTTCCTTATTTTCTCTTTCTTTCCTTTACTAAGGGGCCAGCTTGATCTTTGTCCGCTCCTCAAGCTAGTATTCCTTACTACTTTTTCTTACTTTCCAATAAAAACTTTTTCCCTCTGCAAATTTGTGCCTCAGGTTTAATTTATGTTATCACATAAGCAAGGATCCATGTTAGACAAAGTTTAGTTGAACCATCCTTGGAGATCTGGACATAGGTGCTCCTCAACTTGGGATGGATTTATGTAAACCCATTCCAAGTGAAAAATACAGTAAGTCAAAAATGTGTTTAATCCACTTAACCTGTCAAACCTTGCAGTTTAGCAGCACAGGACAGTGTGGAGTGTTAGCTGTGACCCCTGATTCTGGCGAGGCTGTCTGGAGCTGTGCCTTGCTGCCACGGCTCAGCATTACCAGAATATACTAATGCACAGCACCAGGCTAGCCTGGGAAACAATAAAAATTCAGAATCTGAAGTATAGTCTCTACTGAATGTGTAAGCTTACACACCACAGCAACACAGAAAAACCATAAGTTGAATCCTCATATGTCCAGGGCTGTCTGTACAATGGATCATACTCTTCTGTGAAACAGGAAATCTGATGCCTAAAGTTTCTGCTCATTCCTGGAGTCCAATGCTGTATTCTCACATTTGCATTCTGACAGAAAGCAAAGTCTTTTCCTTTCCATAGTCCTTCCTTTCAGCTACTCTGCTGTCACATCAAAATTTTCAATCATATCTTAGGCTGAACAATTTGTTTTCTTTCATGCTATGCCCTGCAGGCCTCACCTTTCATAACCAAAACGAGTTATTTGTTTAACAAAAGGCCACACTTTTTCCTACAGGCAGAATCAAACGCAAATCTGGTAATTTGAAAGATCCTTTATCTTCTCCCTTTTCCAGCTAAAATAACTATTACTTGGAGTAGAAGATATGAGCTAGGGAATTTTAGAATTAAATGTGATCATTCCTGAGCCAGGAAAGAACATCTGTAGACAGTGTTCACTGGATTTAATGTGACTGACCCATCTTTGCACATCTGTTTTGTGTGCAGAAACTACTTCCAGCCCTCCCCTCTCAGGCACGGATGTGTGACTTGACCATTGTTCCCTGGGCTCTAAAAACTGAGATTTTCCTGCCATACCAGGTGCAGTTCCCAGGCCCCTGTGATGCAAGAGGCCAATCCCCCTGTGATGCAAGAGGCCAATCCCTGTCCCTCCAAGGACTCTACTCATTCTCCCAGGCTTCTGGCTACACCAAAGCACCACACTACTACTTCCCAGAGAACATTGTGTCTATGTGGTGGTGGTGGCAGTGGGGGAGTCTGTGAAGTCCTCAGCAGCTTTCCCTTCTACAGAAAGAAATTTCCAACCCAAACCAAACTGCTGCTGAACATCAAACACAGTATAAGCAAAGATCCTCAAAGGCGCACACATTTCAAAACACTTGAATGGCTGAGCTACACCTCCAGAGTAAATGGAAAGATTCAGGTGAGCCTGAGAAGTTTGCATTTCTCACGAATTCCAGATGATGGAGATGTGCAAGTCCTGGTGTAGGCACAGGGCTTCCATCATGCCCAGTGTGTGTGTTTTAGACACACTGCCTTGTATTTGTCTCCTAGTCAGGGCAGGCAATTACCACCCTCCTGCCCCAGTACACACAATCAGTGGCACAGTGGCAGGCTTTGGCCCAGGGGAAAGGGCGTGGAGTGAGACTGGGCTTGGAGGGGTGGGCCTGGCCTGACACAGCCCTTTGTCCGCTGTGATTGAAAACCAAATATGAAATGCCTCAGGGGCCAGACTGCTGGGAGAGCTGAGACCTGGAACAGCATGAGTTTTGTGTAACCAGCCTAAAGGGAGCAGGCGAGGTGCTGGCAGGCAGCTGTTTCTCATTCAGGGGCCAAAGGGGCCCAGATAAGCACAGTGCCCCTGGCCAGGCCCTGTAATCTCAAGCCAGAGGATGCATCAGCTGTTCTTCAGAAGGGCAGGGCAAGGGAGTGAGGCTGAGCAGGAGGATCTAAAGACACTGAGTTTGAGGACGTAGGGTGTACCTAGCAAAGAGTTATGGATATCTATTCAGATATAGCTGATTTACATCCTGGGATTCTGAGGAAACTCAGCCTTACCAAAGAAAGAGCTAGAGAAAGTCATTCTGATGGGTGTGTTTCTCTGATCAGGCGTTTCTCAGAAAGTGGTCAGAGAACCAGAGGAATTAGGAGTCCTAGGCCTTAGAAATCTGCATGCTACAAAATGCACTCGAGTTATAATTATCCTCTTTGATGTTTGACCACAGCAAGGTTGGCTTGAGTTTCTCCTGTGCTAGGAGTCCAGGATCTTTTTAATTCCTTGCTTCTAATCTATAAATGATGTTTATCCTAGTCTGCCAATCAAGGAACCCCTAGACCCTTAAGGAAGCTCCCTCCTGGATCCTCAATTCCAAAAGCCACACATTATTCCAAACTGAGGCAAGCATTTTGCTTATCATTCTTAGCATTTTCTAAATCAGTCTATTGAATAATCAAAAAATATTTGTTAAATATCAATTTTGCACTTATCACCTAGGGAAACAAAACAAGTAGAAGTCAAGGTCCCTGCTCCTGTGAGTAAAAGCACAAGAACATCATAGGACAAAGACAACTAAGATGAACACTGAGTCATAGACACCCTGAAGAAGAGTGCCACAAGGCTTACAAATGGGATCAAGGGAGTAGAAAATGGGAGACAGTGGAGTTGTAGTGCAATCAGTGTCATAATCACCTGAATGTTATTGATTCAGATTTATATGTATGCCTCATGTAACTCAAAACCAATGAGTATAAAAGCCTTCATTTATGGGATACTCCTATGGGCCAAACATGGTACAAAAGAGTTAATTTGCATACCTCACTTAAGCCTCTCCATAACTCTATGAGGAAGAAACAATTATTTTAAATTTTAAGTAAGGATTCTAAGCCTTTAGGGCTATTAACTTACTCAGCTTATAAGCAATGGAATCAGAATATACAGTAAGTTCTACCTGATTCCAACAACCCATGTATTACCAGCGTTACTCTTGTGTGGGACAATTATGAATAATCTAAGTAAAATGTAATTAAACATCACAACTTGATGAGATAACTAAAAGGTATTAATGGTATCAAAAGGGAGAAATATTCAGAGAAGTCTGAAAGCATTAGGACTAAACATCATGGAAAAAAGAGGCCTTGGAAGAGAAATTGGGAAGCTTTCTCGCATAAGTGATCGCATGTCTTGATCACATGTCTTTGTTCACAGAGAACACAAGTAGAAAAGCTATAGGGATTCCCGGGGAGATCTTTATGTCTAAAATGGTCCATGAAAACATGGCAAATTGAGCTTATGCTCCACTCTTCACTTCTCTTCATGGGTAAGGCCAGGACGCAAACAGTTCATCATTGGCAATGTTCACAAAAAGGCCTCTACTGGATTCCCAAAATGTACAACTGAGCTTGTTCTTCATTTTTTAAAAGGAGGGTTGGGAATAAAAACAAGAATGAAAAGACAGCTCTATACCAGGCCTTAGCAAATGAGCACTCTGGAAAGTCACTGAGCAGAAAATTGAATTTAAGTTTCTCCAAATGATACATATTCCCTGTCCTCCCACTGCTTTGTGGAAGGATCCACTCCCTCTATAAGGAAATCATGAAACCAAGGAAACACTTCACACTGGAGAAAACACAATGTACTATTTTGTGGATCCAGACTTTTGGAATCAATTCAAGTTCCCAATGTATAGAGTTTCTCCCCACCCCCCGGGCCCCCAATAGTACACAGTAACCTTCAGTCTTCCAGCAATAGTTATGTTTTAAAACTTGTGTGTGGTTTTCCTGTATTCACTGTTTACAGAGAATGAAAATAAAAGTATATTCTGGCCAAAGAATCAGAATCTTGTCCCCAGTAACTCTGCTCTCTGAGGGCTTCTCCTCCCAGCTTCAATTTAATCAAGTCCAAAAAGAGAGCACTGCACACAATGATAAGCAGAAACACCCCGTGTATGTGCAAAAGGAGGCAAGAAACTTTTCAGTGTGGTTGGAGAAGCTCGGAACATCTCCTTTACATACACTCTTTTTCCTGACATTCTCCCTTGAAAGGCGCTTCTAAAGTTTTATAATAAAAGTCAAATAAAATTACAATTGTAAAGACCCCTTGAAATCATCTTGGCTGGTCCACATATTTTATAGTTGGGTAAAATGCAGCCAATATTAAGTTGCTGCCTTGTGTAACAGCTAAGTTTTGAAGCCTGACAATGTAGACAGATCAGTGGCCCTGGATTAAAAAAAAAAAGGTGAAGGAAGAAGAGGAGGGAAAGTAATTACTTTTGAAATTGGAGCAGCACTTCTCAAAGTTGATGTATTCTGCATAATGCTGTTTGTTTTGTTTGCTGTGTTTTGTTTCCTTGACCTTAGGTCTTAAAAAGTGTTCAGGTGGATCAGATCAAAAGGGAATAAATGTGGAGATTATATCACCTCCCCTCTTCTCTTTTTTGTAGACTCACAATACAGATTTCAGTACTATATCAAAGAACACAGGAAGTTCTACCATGAGGAATCTGAGCACTTTGCTCCTCAAATGTATTTAACTACTAATTTTTAAAAAAATATAATTCCTACCAACATTCAAAGGAATGAGTTTCCCTATGTAAACCACTTGGAAAATACTGCATAATACTATACAGTGCTCTCTCCTTCAGGAGAAAAATAATTCAAGATTAATATCTTACTAAATTATTTAGATTTACTCAATGGCAATTTCCACTTGATGGGAGAGGTTAAGCAGTGGTAAGGGAATGTGGATGTATAGAGAAATGTGAGGCTTTCAAAACAAAATTGGGTAACAATTTGGCCTTATGCATGGCCAAATTTTAGAAGTGAGAATGTGCCAAGTCAAAAGAGTTAAAGACAAGGACCCAAACAACGAACCATTTTGTTCCTCTGTTGTAGAAAGTCACCTGGTTTGATCTTTGGAACTCTATTTTCCCCAAGAGTTCTACATTGTAGGACATGGCTACTTACTATCAAAATCTATTTCCCCACATTTTGAGGGTACTCTCAAATTATAAGCAGAGTGACAGATAGACAGTAGATGCCTAATTATGACTTGAAATTTAAAATGTCTCCAAGACAGAAATCTGATCACATTTATTCTTCCTTCATCCGAATTGGAACTGGGATAGGGTTGGCCCCAGAATTTAATTTACTTATTCATATTCTTCCTATGTATGTGTGTGTGTGTGTGTGTGTGTGTGTGTGTATGTGTAAATGTTCATTCTTTCAGTTGCTAAGTTAACAAGCTTAAATAAACTCAGCTTAGACCCATTTCATTAGCAGAACTCAGTGATACCTGACCAAAGTCACTGTAGTAAAACAGATCAGTAACATGTATATGATGCGCTGAGCTTACAACCTTGAAAAATTGGAAAGTACACTGGAAATTCAAGTTTATCATAACTTCTTAACGTCTCATGCACAGCTTCAAAAAACCTCAAATAAATCCAAACAGCCCTTGTACCAAGAACCATTTCTTTTTACATCCTAAGATTCTATCCCACTGTTATATGG